TATGTCGTGTTGAACGAACTGTCAATAAAGTAGACAATGTTTTCTTGCATCGTGCCTTTAAAATGGAACAATATTTCATTTATTTATGTAGAATGGATGGAGAAAACTGGAATCATTTCCTATAGAACAATGGAAGGAACGTTTCTCATTAACGTTGAGTAACCAAGCATCCATTGCAAGATTAAATTCTCGAGGAACAATCATGGCTGGCAATCAAAAATCCTTTCGGAATTTAATCAAAGAGGAGGAACGAAATGAATGGATCGCGGCATCGTGGAACACCGATCACGGAAGCCCATAAAAGTTCCCGCGGCGCGATCACAATGCACACGAACGCGTTTGAAACGCGGGCGGAAAGCTCGGACGCGGCTAAACAAAAAAAGCATTCTAACGAACGGCGTTTCTCCGCTTCGCTAATCACGGGTCTCGTAAAACCGTGCGATACGAAAATACATTGCCGCCTCTCGGCTCTTTTAACAGCCGCGCGAAACGCATCTTTTTTCTCGCCCCGCACGCGGTTCACCCTCGATATAAATAATCCACCCACATGCCGTACCGTCTATCGTCGAGAATCGTTCGAACGACTTCGAAAGCGGATGAAGGTACCAGGCCTCGAGCTGATAATCTCGATTGTGCAAGACGAGTTAACTCAAGAGGATCGTCAATATTTGACATCTGTTCATTTTTCATTTACTTCCTAATGCACTGTTACATTATTTGATCCAGTGAATTGGAGAACAAAATCTTTATCCATCGGAATTCAAAAATGGTCTTCGCAAGTGGAATTAAGAAAACGATTTAAAAGGAAAAGGCAATTTTTTATCGACACGTTCTAGAAGCATAATTTATAATTGAAAAGGAGGTAAGAGAAAACACATTGCGAAACGTGATTGTAATGCATTACTTTGGCCAGCGAATATCGAGCACAATAACGCGTAAATAACAATAGACGTCCCATTGTAAAATATGAAAACTCGATCGTGCCTATTTTACCTATATTTACATGATATCGATACCAACCCTGGCTAAAAGTTTCCGATCAAACGCGATATGTAACACGAAGCTGACCAAAAACACTTTATTTGAGCTGCAACGTGATACGCAAATGTACATACAAAATTCATGGGAAACCTTTTAGTTTCTTACAGCGCACTTCGTTTTTTAAATCGCTTTTTGTCAGTTTCATGTTGTTCTGCTCTTACTAGAACCACTACATAATTCTGTTAGCCCTTCTGGCTTACTTCGCGTAGCATAAAATGTTTATAAAAAATAATGAAGCGATCGTAAATGAATTCCGTATGATTTCCTTATCAATTATTATGATTTTCTCCTACAATTGGTTATAAAATAACAAGATACAGATTGTACGATAAATCAAATAACTTTGTGTGCCCATAGTCACACTTCGAAACAATCCTACCTCCGGCAAAGAGTCAACTCGACGATATGCGGGAACCTCGTCCTCATCGTTAGCCAAACGGAATTCCTCGTCACTGCGACAAGTCTTCTTTCCCATCACACCACGAGCGTGCACACGTTTCGCGTAGGCACGATTGTCTCTCCGCGTCACATGTCACACGAGCACGCCACGAACGGGAGCGAACATTGAACGCGCGTACAACCGATCGGAATTTAGGATCATGAGACGAGATCTTCGAAGGTCTCTGGTAAGATTACGATAAAATCCGCGCACTAAAAGAAATCTGGCCGGGTTCCAAGCGGACAAGATAACCGATATCCGCCGCGCACCGCCACAAGTGGTTGCGTCCTGTCACTGGTCAGACACTGACGCGGCTGATTTATCAAGGACACGCTGGCAGGTGAGTCCCGCGGGAGTCATGCCTCTGTACAACCGGATCAGTTGATCGACCCCAGCCAGGATCGGTCGATCATCGTTCGATGGACACCACCCATCGCCCTAATGGAAAATGGAATTCACCCATCGGTTGCTGGAATTAGCCAAACCTTGCGACAGCATCTAATCTCTCCAGGTAACTATCCATCGCGTTGAAGTACACTAAACAGAGGTAAACACTGCGGAGAGGAACAGGTGATTCCTGCCAAAAGAACCGATGCGGAGGATCGTTAACACGCGATACTGCGGTACACTGTTCTACGTTGAGATAGTCAGTTTGTCTCGACGGACTCTGGTATTTGACGTTCTTCCAACGATCCAGACGACGTCGATCCTGCCAGGATGTTTTCGATCGTTGATCAGGATAACAAGCCGATCCCCGAGGTCTGCCGAACCGAACGATCTCCAAGTTGTCGCAGATGGTTCCTCGTATCGTTCACTTCACAGAACGCTGGAGTTTGATCCTCTGGGACGACAGGATATGTCAGGACACACGTCTCGAGGGGAACACGTACACGCTCGACGAGCTGCTCTTCGAGGCTGGTTTCCTTTTCGGCTGACTATCGACTGTCATGCACCCAGGTGTCATTCTGCGGCAACTAGGACCGCTGACACGACGCCTGCGTCCACGAAGACGCTGCACGGCGTCGCGACGCCGGCTGGTCGCGATGAAACGCGTTCCCAGGGCGCATGCCGTGCTTCGATATTCGAGTTTCGAGACGCACCATCGGGGCCGCGAAATTCGATCACGAATGTAAGCAACATCGACGTTTTGCTGGACATTTGATAGTTAGTGTATTCGATTTTCTAATAACAGAGTGTCAAACATTCTTGTTTCGATTTTAACTCCTTTGGGTTCTGGGACTTTTGGCAACATCTCCTTGAATCAGATTCAAGTAGAGTAAACTTAAATGAGAAATGAATCAAGCTCCTTCAATTAATGTATACGGCGCTAAAATATTAATCATTTGCTTATAACTTTATGATAGTCATAGAGATATTATAAGATAACACGTAATAATTACAAGAACCGATTTTAACAGCTGCTTAAAGAAGAATGCTTGCACCGCGTCTGACCATATATGTTTCATACTACTTAGAACAGAACGGATAATATGAAGGGAAATTGATTTACTTTGTCTCATTTTTCTAGTTTATTGATTCGATTTCATCTAATCTCTACTACACATTGATCACTCTTTGCACGGCAAATGATGTTGAAATTTATAACTCACCGGTCTGCGTGCCGCTATCGAAAAAAGTATTGGTTGTCTCGACAGTCATCGTGGCAAACGTTCCGTCGGTGATTTGTGCCGAACTGTCTCTACGCTTGCGATATCTTTGAACCTGATGAACGATCAAGAACAACATATTAAAGAAATTGTTGTCAATATATATATTAATGAGGCAAAGAGCGGTTTAGCATCGACGATTAAATAAAATATTTAAACGTTTGTTAAGAGCTGACCGAATCTTCGCTTTGAGAACTCTGGCGCCGAAAGTTTCTACATCGTATCATTTCCTCGGTGGTGCTCTGCCGTCGGAAGCCACGCGCTATCATGATCTCGGTGGTGGTAGATTGTCTTCTCGTCATGCCGTGCGATAGAGGAGCACGGGCGCAGGGACTCGGGTCCCGCGAAGAACACGCGGAACTGTCCGGAGATCTGCAACAAACATCTTCTTAATCCCAAATCTGAAAAATCGGATCGATCAGATAAAAAAATACGAAATATCAAAAGTAATAAATAATAAGAAAATCTGGCCGGGTTCCAAGCGGACAAGATAACCGATATCCGCCGCGCACCGCCACAAGTGGTTGCGTCCTGTCACTGGTCAGACACTGACGCGGCTGATTTATCAAGGACACGCTGGCAGGTGAGTCCCGCGGGAGTCATGCCTCTGTACAACCGGATCAGTTGATCGACCCCAGCCAGGATCGGTCGATCATCGTTCGATGGACACCACCCATCGCCCTAATGGAAAATGGAATTCACCCATCGGTTGCTGGAATTAGCCAAACCTTGCGACAGCATCTAATCTCTCCAGGTAACTATCCATCGCGTTGAAGTACACTAAACAGAGGTAAACACTGCGGAGAGGAACAGGTGATTCCTGCCAAAAGAACCGATGCGGAGGATCGTTAACACGCGATACTGCGGTACACTGTTCTACGTTGAGATAGTCAGTTTGTCTCGACGGACTCTGGTATTTGACGTTCTTCCAACGATCCAGACGACGTCGATCCTGCCAGGATGTTTTCGATCGTTGATCAGGATAACAAGCCGATCCCCGAGGTCTGCCGAACCGAACGATCTCCAAGTTGTCGCAGATGGTTCCTCGTATCGTTCACTTCACAGAACGCTGGAGTTTGATCCTCTGGGACGACAGGATATGTCAGGACACACGTCTCGAGGGGAACACGTACACGCTCGACGAGCTGCTCTTCGAGGCTGGTTTCCTTTTCGGCTGACTATCGACTGTCATGCACCCAGGTGTCATTCTGCGGCAACTAGGACCGCTGACACGACGCCTGCGTCCACGAAGACGCTGCACGGCGTCGCGACGCCGGCTGGTCGCGATGAAACGCGTTCCCAGGGCGCATGCCGTGCTTCGATATTCGAGTTTCGAGACGCACCATCGGGGCCGCGAAATTCGATCACGAATGTAAGCAACATCGACGTTTTGCTGGACATTTGATAGTTAGTGTATTCGATTTTCTAATAACAGAGTGTCAAACATTCTTGTTTCGATTTTAACTCCTTTGGGTTCTGGGACTTTTGGCAACATCTCCTTGAATCAGATTCAAGTAGAGTAAACTTAAATGAGAAATGAATCAAGCTCCTTCAATTAATGTATACGGCGCTAAAATATTAATCATTTGCTTATAACTTTATGATAGTCATAGAGATATTATAAGATAACACGTAATAATTACAAGAACCGATTTTAACAGCTGCTTAAAGAAGAATGCTTGCACCGCGTCTGACCATATATGTTTCATACTACTTAGAACAGAACGGATAATATGAAGGGAAATTGATTTACTTTGTCTCATTTTTCTAGTTTATTGATTCGATTTCATCTAATCTCTACTACACATTGATCACTCTTTGCACGGCAAATGATGTTGAAATTTATAACTCACCGGTCTGCGTGCCGCTATCGAAAAAAGTATTGGTTGTCTCGACAGTCATCGTGGCAAACGTTCCGTCGGTGATTTGTGCCGAACTGTCTCTACGCTTGCGATATCTTTGAACCTGATGAACGATCAAGAACAACATATTAAAGAAATTGTTGTCAATATATATATTAATGAGGCAAAGAGCGGTTTAGCATCGACGATTAAATAAAATATTTAAACGTTTGTTAAGAGCTGACCGAATCTTCGCTTTGAGAACTCTGGCGCCGAAAGTTTCTACATCGTATCATTTCCTCGGTGGTGCTCTGCCGTCGGAAGCCACGCGCTATCATGATCTCGGTGGTGGTAGATTGTCTTCTCGTCATGCCGTGCGATAGAGGAGCACGGGCGCAGGGACTCGGGTCCCGCGAAGAACACGCGGAACTGTCCGGAGATCTGCAACAAACATCTTCTTAATCCCAAATCTGAAAAATCGGATCGATCAGATAAAAAAATACGAAATATCAAAAGTAATAAATAATAAGTATAAGAATTATTTATGATATGTATAGATTTCAAATAAAAAAAGAATGGAAAGAATTAAATTTTTCAAAAGTGATGTACGATTTGAATTTCGTTTCTTAACTTCGAACGTCGTATCATTCCCGTATCGGTGGAGTTACTTTACCAACGGTCACTGTTACTGTGTAATCAATAAAATTACAGGTACCTCGGTGGCGAGCGACCAGCCATCGACATTGATTGTCGCACCGGATGAGATCTCTGTCTGATAGGACTGATATCTCTCTTATCGGCCGCCCTGTCCGGGCTCAAATGGCTCCTCGAATCACGCCGTCGCGGGGAGGACGCGGAATCAGGACTCAACGAGTCCTTGCGAGCTCTTCGTCCTTTGGAAATTCATCAAAAGTCCACTTTTTTATTTCTCACTACGATCATTTTACTTTACATTGATAAGAGGATTCCATGGATGATAAAGAATAGAATTAGGCCATTCAGTAATAGTAATTCTTTTTAGGAAGTGAAGTAAATTGAAAAATGCATGTTTGATTTAAGAGAAGTGGATTAGTTTTAATACTACTAAAGAAAAAGTACAGGTACGAATGCGAGATGAAAGTTGTAGACAATACGAAACGAAGAAAGAATAGTTTGGTTTAATGAAGTATCGTGCTGGAAGAAATAGATAATGTTGAAGAGGGTACAGATTCGTGTATTTATATTTAGAGTTACAGTAATATCAATACGTAATAAGGATGAAAATGGTCGATAGTGGTGGATGTTAGTGATTGTACCTCCATCGTCTGCGTCCGGTGATAGCGTCGGCTGACTTTCGCGTCGACGGGCAGGCGGCATCGATTCGTCTATGGCAGCTGATTGTCTTATTAATCTTAACATTTTGTTGGGCGATACCTCTTTCCCCTTCTGATAACACTGCAACAAAATCGATAAATTCAGTGACACTAGCGTCTGACCAGACGTAGTTGTTTCTACTTCATTTAGTTTCATGCATCGAAGATGTTTATAATGACTTAAATTATAATATACAGATGTCTACGAATGATCAATCACAATCATTTCAATACTTAATATTCTCCATTAATGAAGTGCAGTAATGTACTATTTCTTATAATAAATAAATCACAAGATTGTTAATATACCTGAGTGGTCGAATCTCTTCTGGTGGCGACCATGGGATGCGACGGCGTAGTGACATTCGGGGATCCTACGGGACTGGAGCTACCGGATGTCGAAGTACCAGGAAGAGGAAGATTGTTAGCGATCGCTGTAGGCGAGACGCTTGGCGGCGTCACCGATGACATCACGATGGTCGGTGGACTGATGGACGCGTCCAGGTTCAAATTTTTCTTTTCAGATGTGATCTTCATGTCGACGGTCAATGTGGTCGACGTGGTGACCGTGGTGGTCGTCGATGAGATCGTCGTCGATGTCGATATTTTTGCCTCGCCGGTCATTATTACTGGCGTTTTCGGTTCGATTAGAGGCGTAGTCGTTGTTGGTGTTAAAATTTTATCTGTAGTTGGTGTTAAAATTTTATCCACCGTGGGCTGTTTGCTCTCGATGCTGCTTGATCGGTCACTCTTGTCCATAGAATTACGGGCTTCCAGATGATCTCTGAAAAATCAATGTTAACGTTAGAAGTTTACATCGGTGATGAGAAAGAAATTATTTATTGCAAGGACAAGTATTCGACTTTTACGAAAGTCAATGAATTTTTTATAATAAATGTTTTTACTACTCGGTCCCGATTATGACGAACTTAATTAAGGATTGTGTTCATATTTGAACAATGGAGAAAGATTGTTGGCTCGGTCCAAACTTGGATAAACTTTCGAAAAATGCAATAAGGAGTTTAAGGAGATGAAGCACTAGAGAAGCTGGTTGCTTTACAACTTTCTGTTACCAGTAACGAGCTTGAAAGTTCCTTCGAAAGGAATATTACAGTTTCGTAACTCGCATTCCTCTCTCACTATTAGTAACAATATTTTCCAAACAAAGTTTATGTTTAGTAATTTCGAGTAACTATTGTAGCTTCTGCTTTTTAATCGTCGCTGATAAGTGTGCATACATTTCCACGGATAATTAACCATTTGGTTGATCGTTGGCTTCTCCTCGCTAAAGCACATTCCAAATTGACAACTGTTTCAATTAAATCCAACTCGAGAGGAATCAAAGACGGTTCAGTATACGAAATCGAGATTAGAGGGAACTGAATCGGATCGTTGAACAACGATTATGTGTACCTGACAGCATTGCTGGCCGCGCTGTCTGTGCTCGAGGCGCTTGGTCTTTGATTGCTTCTGTAATATTTCGATGCCGTCACGCCGCTGCCCCCGCTGTCCACCGACTGCTGCGACTGTCTGCGTCTGTGATAACTGCAAGTATGCTTGCGTTCGCCCTGGCTCTTGGTCCTTGCGCTCTCGCCGGAGTCACGTCGAGAGCTTCTCGAATCTGAAGACCCTGAAAAGTATACCAAGTTTTTAGGAACTTCAAAAATCCATCAAGACTATTTGGAAAAATTTTTCTAATAAATTCCTTCACAAGCTATTTTTATTTTCAGATAATACAAATGCGAATTGGAAAATAATATCTAACTTACATCGATAGGTCGGCGACATGACCGTCGGCGGTGGCTGCGATTGTGGTGTAGCGTCCTTCTTTCCCCAGAGCCTGGCGAAATCGTTCTTCAACTCGCTGATGGCCGAGTCCCGTCTCGATTTAGTGGAAGTCTGGCTCCTAATTCCGCTGTCGACCGAGCTCTCCCGTCGCTTACGCAGTCTCTCCAGGTGGCTGGCATCGGTGGTCGTCTGCCTGGACCACGGGAACGATTTTGTGATGTCCGCTAAAGTCTCTCGACGGCACAGTTTGCTACCGCGCTCAAAGATGTCTGTCAGCTGAGCCAAGCTCGATCGTCGGCGACGCTGGTTCGGCTGAGGTTCCGGAGGCTCGTTCAGAGGCGACGTGGGCGTAATCTGTATCGCAGAATCGCGTCGCCCGGTTCCTGAAAAGAAAAAACAGATTATATTTAGAAGTTTATACTTTGCTCATTTGTTTCTGATATTTTACGTGACAGATAATGAAATAAGGAAGAAGTCGATTGAAATTAAAACTTGTCATTCTATTCGTTATCCGCGCACTTACCAAGCCGCTGCCTCAAGGTCGACTCTTCGACCTGTTCTCTGACCAGATCATCCCAGCCGTTACCCCCTTGCCATTCCAGGCCGACCTGATGGGACAGGATCGGCAGATTGCACACGAAGCATATCGCCGTCATGGTCCTGAAATAACCGAAAGGTCGAGATTAAGCATCGTCGTTTCATAATACAGGAACATGCCGCGGATTATCTTCAAGAATAACGGAAGAGTGCAACGTTACAAACACGGAATTAGTATAACATTTTTACATGGATCTAGAACATGCCAGACAGAGCGTTCGTGATGCGAAAGTAACTCGCGATCGAGAGACTCGTTGGTTCTCTCGGCTACCCTACGACGGAATTCCTAAGATCGTTTTCATGCTTGACAGAGTCACGAATCGTGTCCCACGCCTTTTTCTCTCGCTCTCTTCCTCTCCCGAGGAAGGAAGAGAATAAAGGGGAAGGAAGGTGAAGCGTAATCGAGTTTTCATTTTCGAGCAAACTACTACTGCGTTCACGACGTCGCTTGAAAAGTTCATGCCGGGGGTTGATGGAATTTATATCGGTAAACGTTTCCTGTTCTTCTTATTCGTCCAATATCGGTAACCAGAGTTTACATTCAAGTTTATTATATCAAATGAACAAAGTTTGTACTCGACGAATCAGTCCACAAGATGGAATGGACTCAGCTTATAATTACATTTTGCAATGAAATTTTTTATACTTCCATCAACATCCTGGGTCATCAGCATACTTACTGGTCGACAAACGAATACTCTTACTATTACAATTCCCATAAATGAAGTCCGAATACTCTCGTAAGCTGAAAGCGGAAATCAGAACAGTGTTCGAAGCAAATTCCTCTGCTTGCTCTCTTTACAAAAATAAACAATTTCGATCTACGACGTACGTTCAGGATGCGCCATAAACGATCGTTAAACGGTACAACACTCTAACAATGTAAAAGGCAGAGAGTGACGCAGGTGTGCAGCCGAGCTGGCTGTGCAGCTCGGGTCAGCGTCATTCCAAAAGCGTGGATGCAGCTAAAACGAGATACCACAACTCGTATCTCGTGGAACGGTTTATGTACACGCGTACTCGTGTTACTATTTATGTATCTAGTCCGTGCACTGAGCGTGGAACAAATTCTACACGCTGATAAGGAATATCTCTTTGGTGGTAAAGCAAGTTGTAATCGCAGAACACCATTATTTTTGAAGGAAACGTGCGTCCAAAGTTGTAAAACAGACGTTCAGTTAAATATAATGCAGTTTAGCAGCAAGTTCCGTGTAAAAAAGTTACCGGAAGTTGGGCTGTAAAGTAGTAGTGTTACTGCTCATTTATTTTTATATAGTATTTTATTGATAGTAATTTCTCCGATAGTTTCCTTCGTTCTTTATGTAACACTATTTTAAAATGAACGTTAATACTTTTTAAATTGCGTTTTGCTATAGAACAGATATCAGTAGTAGTACTCCGTATGTGGTCAGACACATTCAATTTAATTCTTGTATCTCACTTTTTCGTTAAGTGTATAGCATATCGAGTCGTTTATAGAAAATAGTTCCGTTTCTTTTTGACATTCTTGATCGTTTCTTGAGATTGAAAAACCTTCGAAGAAAAGCAGATTGCTTCTTCGTTTTTATATCGCAAAGTTTCTCGAATTAAGTGTTCCGTTAATCAAAGCTTTCTCTAAGTAAATCTTCTATGAGCATTCTATATAAACTTTGCACAAAAGCATCGCGTGTTGCTTGGAATGTAGTGCGAAGTGCTCGTGAACGCTTAAACAAGTAATTTAAGCTTTAAGCACTGTTTCGTTTAGGTATGTTCCATCCACGTTTTGCGTAGGCTTCTTTCTTCTTGAACTTTAAGATTTCCCCGCAGAAAGAAAGAGGAATAATAATTTATTTCGTAATAGCATAATTTTCGGTTCTTATTTAGAAAAATTGTTTAATTTTTGTAAATTTATCATTGTTTTCTTTAAACAAAGAGGATAATTCAAACTGAATTATATCTAACAAAATACGAATTAAATATCCGACACAGTATCCTTCAAAAATAAACCTTCACGTATGTCCACCTTGATTCCACCACGAAAAGTAAATTAATCGCAACCTGTGCATAATATTTACAAAACTAAGACAGAACTGAAAATAATGAAAAAAGTAGAGAAAACGTAGCTATATGTTCATCTTTTTATCATCATATCAGCGTATATTATAATAAAACTGTTCAGAAAGTATTTTTAAAACGAAAAGTATTTTTAGAACGAAATTATATCTGGTCTGATTGTTTTCGACCTGTAATGTCGAAGTCTGTGGTTCTGCAACGACATCGCATGGCAAGGGCTTGGCCGACCTGTAAAAGACACACACACACAAATTTTTTTCATTTGTTTCAGAAATATTCTTCCAAACCTACGATAGGAGATGATCGAACGAAAGTAATGAGCCTTTCGTCAAATTGTGTCACTATTTAATAATTTCTCTGCAAAACAATCTGAATAACATTTGTTAATCGGTAATTTTTGTATTTTGTGATTTTAAAGCTTTTTATCGTTGTCACGTCGCTGCATTAAATTAGTGCAAATTTTAGCTCCTGACATCTCAGTTTTAATTATTTATTGTATAAATTGTAAAATGAAGAGAGTTATTGATTCTCTTGTCTCCTGTAATTCTATCGCCTCTATTATATTTTCTGTCGTTCGACATTTTAATCCTCCGTCCACAACATAATTAGCTTGATCGTGACGACGTTTAATGAAGTGTGGCGCCTTCGTTAGGAAGTACACGTTAATCCGAAACTTAGTAAACCCAGTCAGAACGATCCACTGCGGCGTGGCCCAAATATTTGCGAAATTAAATGATGCGCACGCTTGGTAAAATACCACTTAATCTATTCTGAAGAATTCATTTAGAAAATAATAATCTTTCATTTTTATTATCTTAAATTTAAATTCTAATGAGATTGGCCGCAAGTAAACTTAATTAATGTTGGAAATTAAAATCCACCTCAAACAACTCGTAATACCGTGAATAATCCTCGGCATTGCAAATATCTGATAATTTCATTTGATAAAGTTCATTCTTATGAGTTATTCTTCAACATATATGAAAACGAGTGCTTATTATTTTCTTGTGTCGTTTAAACTTTTATAAGTAAGATCTTATCTTATTTCATCAAAACCTCTTATTAAAACAGCTTTCAAGAGTACTTCGAATCTATAAGTGCAATAATGTAATCTAAATTATGATTAATAAATGAATACAAAAATCTTGTTATTTTTATTTCATGCACATGATCAATCCAGGTGGTGGGTACTTGAGATAGAGTCATCGTCCCTTCCTTTCAATAACTTAATATCAATAAATAATAATAACAAATAAATAACTAAATAATCATTGTTACGATAAATTGAGGAAATAACTGATTCAAATTCGCTGGAGTAAGAATTGAATCAACGAGAGACGAGGCAAAACTTGGTATGCAGTACTTCATTAAAATTGAAATTTAATTCATGAACAAACGCTGGAATCGACCTTAATTTCTCCTGCTGGTATAATAGTCGAACGTGAGACACAAGAGTCTATAAGGTGGTAAGTCAACTCGTATATTTCATCCGTGATGTAATATAAAATATGTAAAGCTGAGGTAAAAAAGAACAGAAAATTTCATGTGTTTTTGAAATTCTTATCAAGTTCTATGTATGAGATTAACTTCATTCGAAGCTCTTGTAAAGATCTAACACATTTACTTTAAATTTGTTGTTTAATATTATTGATAACTTCGGTTTTATCAATTTAATACATTTTACGTTTTTCAATGTCCCAAATACGCTTCGAGAGTTCTTTTACTGATCGTTGTTGTGGGTGAAACAACGCCTTTTGTCTTGCCTTACGGGCTATTTTTAACCGTGGCTCGAAAGAGCGTGATTTATGGCTAGCATGGCAGACTGCATCTTGTTCAGAAGTTACTTCATCCTCTTTCTCCCATGCAACACGCTTTATCAATGAATTTACACACTCCACGAACACGAATGGATGAACAATCCATTTCTCTTCAATTCCAACTCTAATTCGCATTCCAGAAATTTAGAACAGTATCGTTCATAACTTTGTTAATTCGATGAATCGTAAAATGGGCATCATGGTATTCATATGCAAACGGTGCAGTGAGTTATAAGTAATTATGGTAATTAAATTCGTATCATTAAAACTGAGTCACGGAAATTAATATTTATCACAGTAAATCCGTACAGTGGGCATTATAATTTTACGTATGAGTTCCTCGGATAAATATTTAAACGTTTGCTAGGTTCATTGTAGAATAACGAGCGCGAAATGCAAAAATCTCTTTAAAAAAAGAAGTCAGGGACATACACAACGAATCTTGACTTGGTGAAAATTTCAAATTCATGAATATCTTACAAAGCACTTTAGACGTTTCCCAGAGCGGGAAAAGGGACATTAATATGGAAAGCAGTAGCTGGTTAAAAACTGAGGATGGGGATCTTGGAGGAGAACTCTCTGCCGGTAAACATTATTTGCGAAACTCGTCGTCTCGTTTCGGTGTGTTTTCATAAATCCGTGGAAGTTCTTCGGGTTCTTGCGACTTCGGACGAAGGCAACGACGATGGAATTTGTTTTCATCCGAAAGTTTCCGGTGACCTTGGAAAAAAGTGCCGTCGATGAACCCCCAAGGTTACATAAATCATCCCCCCGTTTCTGCCCCTCGTCCCACTTGATATTACACTGCAGCAATCCGTCACTAATCCATTGAATTATTAACGCCGCGAATAAATTATAAACCGCAAAGATTAATAGATGAGAAAAAAAATATTAATAATGATCGACAAAAATTGAGAGATGACTTATTTTCAGCTTCAAGTCGCCTTCAAGTTTAAACATGTTCTTAGAAAGACAAGTCCATGATTCATCCACTACTTAAAAATTATAACTCTGTTCCACATTTAATTCGAGAATTGCAAATAACGAATTCGGGAGTTGTCAATAATTAATTTTGCATTCTATTCACATCTGACGGTCCGACGAGATTCTCTTCATATTCATTTCACCGAATCAGAGATACATGGAATTACATACGATACAATAGTTTGAAAAATCTATGCTTAGTGTAAAGCCGAGCACAATGATTTGTGTCCACGACTTGCGCGGGACAATGAAGAGCTGCAAACAATAATTTCAACGTTTGGCGAATCACTATAATGGACCGACTGATATGACAACGCATTACGGTACGCATTAATGCCAGCCAAACGTCCGCGTGTCAACCATGCGATAGAGCACATATTCCGTTCTGTGCGACATATTAACTCTCGTGGACGATGCTCGTCGTTCATCCGTTCCACGATGTGCATAAACCCACCAATTCGAGGCGATCGATCGATCGAGTCTACATTTTTTCTCGAGCCCCTATGCACGAACTCTTCAAACTCATAGACAAAGATTATAACCGGTTTAAGATCCAGTTTGAATATTTATCGCGTTACCTGTATGAGTAACATGAGTTCATGTTCATTATCCGATTTTTAATAGTTTCCAAATGTACCTTTCAATGAATTCGTTATATTTTCCATCGTTATTGTAATCTGTGTTCCAAAAATGTACACCAATTATGTAAGAATCATTTAATTTAGATAATAACGTAATAGGACGAAGAAATAATTATACTAATTTCATTTCGCCTTCTCATTTGATTTATTTTTCTTTTATAGCTGGCAACACGTCCCTCTCGTATTCCTAAACACCGTCCCGCATCATCGCAAAATGGAACGACCTCAGCGAATACGCGACTCCATTTCCAGCAGGAAGTGAAAATTTGTACCTCGACGCGAGGAACGCCTCGCGATGATTGCGTTTTTTTTAGAAAAAAAAAAGAAAGAAGAGAGAAATAATAAACGATATTTCCGCACGGGTATTACAGGGTGGGGGACGGTTCCTCCCCCGGTAAATTGCGAGGCTCGTTTGCATCCCCCCGTCGACAGGCACCCTCGCCGCAGCCGCCGTTACTCCTTAATAAAATCCAGCCTCGAAAGTAATCCGGAAAAACTCTCGTCCGGTATCGTTCGAAAAAACTCATCTACGACAGGAAAAGGAGAGACGGCAACCGAGGAAGCGACTAGCGCGGAACAGTTCCCGGTGTTTTCAGGAGGAAGCTCGGAAGCAGTTTTTCTCGAGCTTCGTCTGGCGATCGGACAGGTAAAATTAAGTTTCTTTCCCGCGCGAAAGGGAACTTGATAAAGAAAATTTAAAAAAACCTCCCCGAGAGTCAGCTCCTCATTTTGTTAAAGTAAGGTGTTGCCTTCCGAGTGTACACTTCCGAAGAAAAAACTTGTGAACAAGCAAAATAAAAAACTTTTTATCAATGAACTTTTGAAGACATCATTATATAAATCTTTAATAACGAATGATTATCTATTTGAATTTGTCAATTTTTTATAAGATGTATTGATGTATTGATTTCAAGTAAACCTTCCAATTTCTTAAGAGCTTCTTTAAGACGTTCTTTCCTCGCGATGAATATTATATGGCTGCACTACGTTCATGCAACAATTTACTTTATGATTCCGCGATCGCATCGCCGGAGCAACAGTCGATGCGTACAAAGCTTAGTGATCCACAGGTGGCTCCTAAATGCAAGGACGAGGGTAATAAAACGTCTTCAAAATCATTTTACAACTCGCACGTTAGCAATTTGAAGTAGGATGTATTGACCATAACTGACCTACAATTTTAATTATCTTTTCTTGTTTAAAGCTACGATTGAAGTAATACAAAAAATCAATTCATTTTGTTCATTCACTTTAAATGATATTGACGTAATAATAATTATATATCAACATACGCGTGTGTCTAATTGTAAGAATAAATTTCTACCGTCGGAACAATGCGTGAAGCATTTTCAGAAATATTTGTAGACGGGAAAATATTCTGTATACATCAAATTTCTTGCATACCTGACAAGACGGAATCCTTTTTCGACAAACGCTAAAAGGCGGTAATATCTTGGAGTAATACTTCAGCGCTTTATATATTTGAAAAATGTGGGCATTTACACCTACACCGTTGCGAGTACATATATTCGGGCGAGATTGCGTTCACAGTGACGTCAATTGACATAAAGCGGATTAACCAATCATCCGGCAACGTTCAACTTCCGATACACTCAATAAATTTTCATCTCTGTTTGCATAGCAGAGCCACCCACCACGTACGCGAAAAATCCGGGAAAATCCGTTAGTTCTTCTCTGGCGTATTTAGAGTAATCTATTAATAGCGTTCCATCAATACAAAGCGCAATTGATATAAAATGTTTACTGGAATTCATTCAGTATATTT